CGACCGACACATGCAGTACAATGGACCATTTAATGAAAATATTTCATTTGTCAGAGGTAAAGTAAACAATAATAATAATGTAGCCGGATACTCACTCTTCTTGCCGTTGGGGTCGACGCAGCACTTGCGCATGACGTAGCCCTTCTTGTACTCGATGGCTCGCGACTGGTCGGGCACGTCGAGGAAGGGGTTGGCGCCCACCCCGCGCCCCAGCCCGCCGCCGCTGTCGCCCTGCGCCGGCGCCGCCTCCGTGTCGCTGCGACCAAACGATCGTTACTGTTCAGCCCGGGACGTTGCTATTGACGTTTCACTTCTTGCTCAAAGAGGACTCGAATGTCACGCAATAGAGAATCATTTTAACTAGAATGGAGAGCTTTAAATAACTATTTAGAACGTAATAGTGGTAACTATTTAGATAAGCGTTTCAATTTCAATTCCAATATTCCACTCGTTAGTAATTACTAATATTCGAATGAAAAAATGATCATTCGTTACTAATCAATACATTACATAGAGCACAGCTATACTCGTGGTCACCTAGCCCTCTCTGACATGTGGTACATACCGGAAATGTGACTGGGACAGGGATATTTTTGATATGGAATTTTAATGGTGAATGATCTGGTGGAGTTCCGATATAATAATCATTCGCCCCTGCACCTGACCGAATGGTAGGGGCATTCGGTATCGGTCATCGTTTGACTCGAGTTAAATGTTTGTGCTTGGATTCAAGTTAGGCGAATATTTTGCCCATTCGAATGATTAGTATTAATAATAATAATCTTTATCTCTCTTTACAAGTTATTTTATAAATAAGTAATTAATATTATGGACTTATCATTAATACATCTTTGTAAGAGACGGAGTCTATACTAGGATTTGACCTGTGTTATGGATCTCCAGACACTCACCAACCTTATACATAATATGAAACCGTTACCATGTTCTGAATTACAGAGAGCGGGTTTTATACAAGATTATTATAATAGTATAAAAGAAAAGAAAGTAATGGAATCATTGACTTACAATTATATGGACGTCGGGTCCGCGCTAAAAAGTGTCCGAACTTATAGGGCGTTAAAATCGTATACAGAGCGTCATTCACGCTTTAGTCTTCGTTTGCTCGACTGACAGCGAAGCAAGCAAAATTAGACAGTACTGCGATGACATTACAATTTAAATTCAACGTTTTAGCTTTTTCATATTCCTTTACATGTCACTACGTTTAAATAGGCTGACTTGGGACATTTTTTTCGTGGTTTTTGTATTAGAGCCGTCGTCCATTTATTTGTAAGTCAATGAATGGAATAAAACAAAAGTAACAAAACAAAGGGTGTGTGTGTGCGTGCGAGCGTGCGTGCGTGTGTGGGTGAGTGCGCGCGTTTGTGTGTGTGGTGCGTCTGTTTTTTGTGTTGGTGCTACATGTTGGGTGAAGCAACATAGGTATAGGGGTTATTGAGTTTGAATAGCTAGGAGATCGTCAGTGGACTGCTAATCAAGACTGAGTAACCACTCTAGTATTAGTAACATTCAAAGTCGCATCGCTATGGAGACATGTTAGGTAACTCACAGAGCCCACTCGAGTGGCTGCATGCGAATGGCGTGGTAGAGTTGCTTGAGCGTGTCCTTGGGGAAGTTCTCCCCGTCGTTGAGGTCGGTGAGGTTGTCCACGAACTCTGCGCACGTCATGCGTCGGAAGGCGGCGGCGCCGGCGCCGTGCAGGTCGGTGTTCAGCAGCATTATGGCGCACGTCAGCGTGTGTACAGCGTCTGCGATTCGTAACATTCATGTTGTAACCAAAAGGAACTATCGTTGAAGGAAAAGTTAAAGGAAAATTGAAGTTAAAGATGTCTAGGAAAAACTTTGGTGAGCAATCATCGATGTCTTCTGGATTATGATATTTTGAAATCTAGACACATTTTACAATTAATATTATTATTATATTTCTGTACATATTTATTACACGCAAAATAGGCGACTTGACGTCGGGTTGCGGATACCAGCCCGTTACACCCAGTACCAAGTGCCAAATTTCTGTATTAATAATTATAACAAGTAATTTCACAAAGAATAATTGAATATCTGGTGGTGAAACACGACATTCAATAAAAATATTTAATATTATTATTATTGACCCAAATCACTATCAACACTTTTAAGTTATTGACTAATTTATTAAATCAATGTATATGCATGTTTATGAGATATTTATAATACAGTAATCATCGTGAACGTATTATAGAACGTGTTATAGTTAACTGCCTCTGGCCGCACGGTTGCCAGAGGTCCAAGGTTCGATTCCCGGGCCGGGAAAAATATTTCTATGGCCTACGTTTATTTCTCTCGTGAGTTGGGTGTAATTTGAGGTTGATTATGTGTGTGTCAATGGCACCCGTGACACAGGCTTTTTCCTAGTGCGGCGCTATGTTGAGTGTGTGCGTTATTATTATTATAGATCACGCTACTAGACACAGGTCTTCTCCAAGGTGACGGTTTAAGCTGTAGTGCTCCACATTAGCCCAATGAGGATTGGGGGTTGGAGATTTTACATGCTCCGAAGGGTTGTAACTTTCTTCAACATGGAAAGTTTCATTATGATGTTTGTCTTCACCGTTAATGACAGGTATTGCCACAAATTACTTAATTATACGCCGTTACTACGTACTCTCACACAAAAACGAAAATACCTGCGCTGTAATTGCCTACTAAATCTCATTAATGACACCAAGCGCTCACTACGAGGAAAAAGGAACCTAAGTACACGGTCGGAGAGGCGACATTTACGTTGCCCGCCGTGTGCAGTCGTGCAGAGGCGAATGCTCATAAATTAAACTTGTATGAGCGCTTGTCCCGACGTCGGTACAGTCAGTGGTAGGCATTTATCGCGTAACCTTGAGCGAGTGACTGAGCCCTTGTATTGCTAATAAAAATATTCACAATAAATATGATCAGACCCGTCAACCTCTTAATAGAAGCAAGGATTTTCTCGCTGGGCCATAACATAATATGCCGAGTTTTGTCTGCTGATTATTATTATTCCGTCTGTTTAAGGGAAAACCACGTAAGTGACATTTTAAACAAAAAGTCTTTAATTTATATACTTATGGTAAGAAAATCACACATCATCTTTCTGCACGTGAAACTCAATAACAAAAAAGCTATAAACTCAATAAGAAATCTGGAGAAAGATGGTTATTTTCTTACAATAGGTACATAATTTGGAGATTTGTTATGGAAAATGTCACTTATGATGATACTGCTCTGCTTTTTTCTGCTAACTCTGATAAGGAAGTCTATGAGTATGCTCAGCGAGGATTCAATGTCGTAAATAACTGGCTCCAGCACCATTCGTTAACACTAAACACGGATAAAATTAGTTTCATGCAGTTCTATATGAAGTCTGTTATAACTAACACACAACTTTATGCTCACCATTGTAAGCAGACGACTAACAAACTTGTGCAAGTGTCCAGACATTGCTATTACTAACAAGGTAAAGTATTTAGGTGTTATAATAGATGATAACTTCTCTTTTAAGCACCATATCGAAGCACTAAGCGGTCGAGTCCGTAAGCTAATGTATGTGTTTAAAAACCTACCCGCTTTTGCTGATTTTAAAATAATCAGGCAAGTTTATTATGCCATATGTCAATCAATTGTTACATATTCGATTACATATTGGGGTGGTATTATTACATATTGGGGTGGTATTGCTAAAACTTCATTACTAACCATTGAGAGAGCCCAGCTCTACCTTCCGCCCTTTCCTTTACCCCACTAACCTTCTGTATAAGTCGTGTAAGGTACTAACTGTATGACAATTATTTATTAAGTCCACAGTTCTCAAACAGCACATTGCACTCCCATATATTACTGAAAACACTAATAAAAGACGGAAAGATATTGTCTGCCCCAAAATTGTATCATCAAAACATGTGTTTATTTCCACATTTTTTGTGTTTCTTGGTCCAATTTTGTACAATAAATTAAACGCCAAACTGGCCCTATATAATTTTTGTTACATGAAGGTTAAGAAAATTCTCCATGAATTCCTTCAAAATATGTCCTACGATGTTGCAGCCAATTTATTAATTATCCCAAAATAGATGTTGTCTAATTTAAGCATATAGGTATATGATTTGCATTTCATTGTTTAATTATTATTATTATTTTGTTCATATTTCAATAATTTTTTTGTTTACAATTTAATCATCTTATATTCACCTGTATAATTAGTATTTTTTACCTGAAATACAGGATTCTCCTAGTTCAGGTATATGTGTTATATTTTACATTTATTCGCATAATTAGTCTTTACTTATTCATTTGTACAATACTTAATTTTACAATTATTCAATAAACAATTTTATTATTTTATTATTATTATTATTACTTATGTGGTTTTACCTTTAAGCAGACGATTTATCGTTAGTAAATAGACAACTTGCCCAAAGTTTTGGCCGGGCAATGAATTTTCTACTGTCAATTGTCGGTCTATACAACATGTACGAGCAGTACATTAGGTATGTCATCATTTAACCCAAATATGTTGCCGATCGCGCGCATTGTCGCGCTTACAATTATGCGTATTTTTAGTACAATATAGACCTTCGGAGAGTGCGGTGCCTTACATATTTTACATCAACCTACCTCAACCCAAAAATGTACCCTGGGAAAAACACAAATACCACCAAACATGGCACATTGGGTACGAGGCTGAACAAAACATTTTTTTTACAAAATAAATAAGTTATCATGGTGAGGAATAATGAAAGATGAAACCTGATGAGTTCCTTACCCTGAGAGTTAAAAGCGCCAGGGTTGCACTCCAAGAAGCGCCGACTGAAGTGGACCAACACCCTCTCCCGCTCTTGCGTTTCTCCGCTAAGCGCGAATCGGCCTAGGAACGTCCGCAACGCCGCGTCCAAGGTCGCGCCGGTAAAGTCAAAGTGTTTCACGTATTCCTCGGCCACCGCGCGGGAAAATTCGTTGCTGGAAATCATTGCAGCCATTTTAAATACCAAGAAGAATAGGTTGGTGTTGATGGGTAATCTTGCGATCTATGAAGGCTCATCGCTCACTTAGGAAAGATAACAAATTTCAATGCTCACTACCAGAAAAAAGAATTTATATTAACTAAACACCAAAATCACAAGGAAAGAAAAAATATTTGTAGTGTAGTTTGAAAATTATCTCGTTTGAGGTAATTGTTGTAATTGTATGGTACAATATTATTATTTTTCCGTCGTTGATTACGTATGTGAAACCCTTTAACAAAAACCTACCGTAAAAATAGTACATACATTATGTATTAAGGGCGGTTCCCGTAGGTACCGCCCGTGAAACATCAATGTTTTTCATTACACTTGCACGTAAATAGTATGGTTGCAAGCAGATTAACTTGACTATAATGCCCCAAATAAAACCTTCGGGCCTTTTTTCTTCTCATTACAGCTATGGTCGTGTAATGAGAAGAAAAAAGACTCGAGGTTTTATTTGGGGCTTTAAAGTCAAGTTAGCCTGCATGTACAGTGTTACATTTCGAAGAAATAACACAGCAAACTGCTGTGTTTCTTTTGCAGGTCTCCACACTCAATAAAAAAATATTTATATAAAGAAACCCATCCAGTTAACATTTGTCTTTGGTTTGGTCATTGATTTACTGAAGGACTTTTGATATCATACTTTTTACTAAGATGCCTGGAGACATCAGACTTCTTGAATCCGTCGAGATGATAAAGCCGCTTGGCGAGCCGCTCAGCCGACGGGATGTCCACAGCCTTAGGGCTGTAGTGGAATGAGTGTAGTGAGTCACCATCAGAACCCTCGTCCGACCCTGCGTCTGAGTTGTTTCCTAGTTCCTGCATGCAAACATTTAACATATACATTCTCCGTATTGTTACTTAATATTTACATACCTAATTTACTTTGGCGTTGAAATGGCCAACGCCTCGAACGCCATGTACTTCAAGTACATAATTATTTTATAATTACAAAAAATACAAATACAAAACAAAAACATTTATTTAACTGTTCAAAATGTAATATTGTGATACATAGACTAAGTGTGGTCTAGGCCTGTATCGTAGTTATCAGTACAGAATGTTTTTACATAAGGAGTAGGTCAATGACATCAGGCATTGACCTTGTCAATGACATAAAGGATTATTTTATTATATTAAACGTGCGAAACCAGAACACAGTAATGCTCACATTACTGCTTGGCGGCCCTGCTAAGTCCACACTATGGCCATATTCATTATTTTAATTCCTTAAGAGGGAGCATGCCAAAAAATGCGACAGGAGATGTTGAATTTTGCGCATTAAAAGTACCAAATTCGTTTTAGCGGAATAACTCTAAAACTAAAGGGATTAAAAAAAATCCGTAGTGACAGTTGTCGATCATGCATAAATATAATTAATTATCTAATTTTTGTCCTAATAACCTGTAGCATTTCGAGGATAAATCGAAAAAATGTGAAAATTAGAGGTCATTTCGTGATTTTTATCTATCGAGGAAACTTTATTGTTTTACGTTTCTGATTAATGTCTATGCTTGAATAAATCGCGTAGTTACTCATACAATATTTTATGTTTAACTTTAAAGTGGATATACCCCTCTAAAATCAAATCGAAGATTAGAAATTTTTCCTCTGCTCCCTCTTAAATGCTCCGTGTATAGAAGGTCATATTTGTCAGTGTCTGCAAGTTTGTTTGTATGTCAAATATTTTTCCAAGTACATCGAACACCCGATAACAAATATAAGTAGCCATGTGATGTGCCGTCATTAAATATAGAGTTGGAAAGCCAAGAAATATGTAGACTGACTACATCACCAGCCAAAGATTGACATGATAATCAAGGTTTCACTACAAATATCACAAAGTTGCGAATTGAATAATTATAGGAAAATACAAATTATGTTTCTAATGTAAATTAGTGTTTTTTTGTCCACCCGTAAGCAACAACATCTGGGAGTTTCGAGCACAGCGATAGTTTGTGTTTAGCACGAACTACTTACCATGGTGCCGATAAAAAAAAATGTATTGCAAATAAAGAGACATGACATCTGGTGTTAAGAGCAGATAGATAAAACTCATTCGTTATCAGTTTATCACATAAAATAACATTACATATACAAACTTTATATTTATGCCTATATGGTTACATAATGCTTACCTTTTTGTTAGAACATATTCTATGGCAAACATGACGCAAAGGGCCCATTGTGTGCTTCTTTTTTTACATGTTTTACACGACTGAATGTTTGATTTCAATTGCCAAAACAGGTTGTTGCCCCGATTATCCGATATCTCTAAGATATATACAGATATTTCTAATATATAGACATATCTAAGATATAGTATGATAAAGTCATGTGCAAGCATTCCAAAATGATTAAGTGTGAAAATGAGATCCGCTTTTTTGTATTTAGGTTGTTATGAATGGAGCACACAAAGTTATTTTTAAAATACTAACAACCTATCAGGACCGTATATTTTGCAAAGTAGTGTATATTTATCTTTTTTCTTTCTTTGTTTAGTTTTTAAGTATTATTTTGTATCTTGTATGTTATATTTTAAGTACTTAGTTAAGGCAATCAAAAGATCACCAAAAGAAGTGGTCAAAAGATGCAACACATTGGTATCCAAGAGATGGAAAGAATTATAGAGGAAGGCCAACAAGAAGGTGGTAAGACGATCTGCCCCGAGAATGGCGCCGGTCGGCGTAGGACCGTTGCTTATGGAGAAATATGGAGGAGGGCTATGTCAGAGGACAACCTGATTAGAACCAGAACCGACGCTGACGTTAGAATGAAGAATTATTACTGTTAGAAGTAAGCATTAGGTTAAACTTAGAATTGATTAAGTAGTAATCAGCTAATAAAGGCTATTTTTATTTTTTTATATTATATTTAAATTTTAAGTCTTGTTGGAAGCTTCGATTTAAGCTGTAAGTCCATAAAATGTGTTCTTTATAAATAAATAAAAAATATTGACTTCATAAACAACATCTTTTGTTCCTTGACTTGTAATAATTCTTCCCATTTTACTTTTTTTTTGTACGTAAAGTAGGAAGCAAACCACTTCATGGAAGGTGGTCAACGTCGCCCATGGACATCTACAATGTCAGATAGCTGACTTTTTGAAGAACCCCGTAAATAGTGCAAAGGAGAATAAAGACCATTCCATATTGCATGTTCGAGGAAAGTACAAACGTGATGACGGCGTGGTCTCAATGCCAGGGATCAATGATGTGGGTACCGAATATATAAACAGATCGCTCTAAACGGTGATAACTCTGTGCAGTAACAAAAGGAAGTGCGATGCAAAACACAGGAATGTTGTTGGTGGTCGTTGTCAGGACGCTTGCACGTTTGAACTTACTTTCTTACTACCACATACAGATCTAAAAAGCGTCAGATGTCAGTTTGTTTTTGGTAAATTTATTAAAAAGTCATGGAACAAAAGTTGTTGTTTATGTTGCTATTTAGTAATTATAATACTGCGAGGTTGTTAGTAATTTACAAATAGTACTGGATGAACAAACTTATGAAACACAAACTGTGTAAAACTGGAAGAATTTATTGTAACTAAACAAATAAGACTCACCTGGTACCCTTGATTCTCGGGCGAATTATGTCCATTCTCCTTTCCATTAGGTAAATTATTGTTAACACTTTCACTGTTCGCGTTTTTCTCGGGTCCTTTCACTTGTATCACTATCCTATAATCGTTATTATGGTCCCCGTTCAACGTCACATCACTACCGTGTTCGTTGGAGTACGAGCTGTTGGACTTCGCCCGCTTGTGGCAAGGCTCCGAGACGAGGATCGTCGAGTCGGAGTCCGACGGGTCCGAGAGCTCCATCCTCGGACATTCTCGGCCAGTCTCGAACATGTCGTCTTGATCTTGATAATCGGGACTCGAAATGTTGGACACTGCTTCGGATAGGCTCATATCTCCTGGAAATTAATAGCAGAGTTTAGATTTTTAACTGTTTTTCACAAGGGAGCATGTAACCATTCTGAAATATCGGGTGAAAATTAAATGAATCAACAAACCAGCATTTAAATTTTTTTACAGGTCCCATGGTCACGATTGACAGCAGAAAAAATAGTTCAACCTAAGAACTTGATAAAATAATAAAAGGTCATAAGAAACCTGTAATTAGAGACGTCAATAGCGGAGTTGAACTAGTTTCGACGTAGTGTATAATGTAGTTGGTTGTTATTTTGCTTCTTTTATTTGGTTTTGTTGATAACTTAAGGAGTTCAAGGTTATTTAGATAAAGAATGTGTATGATAGCTCTTTTTATGTCAAATGGATATAACCCCGCATGCCTTTCTGTCCCACTTACGACTCGACCGCTTCAAAGGCTTCAATAAATATTTCGTCTGTTCGTCAAATTATACATATTAGCAATGTTTTTTTTGTTTAGCGCTTCACATATTGAACTATAAGCTCATGATACAATTCGTTATATTATTAAGTTATGTTCACTTACCGTAGACGTCAACTAGTAGTGGCAAAAGTATGTATAGTGCCCTTCAAATTGCAAACACCCTTACAGGCTCTGTACTCTCGGCAAATGAGTAATTTAAACTAAATTAAATGACACACGATATGAATGAAGCTTCATACTTGATTAGACCCCCAGTGTAACACGACTGGTACAGTCGGTGCCCTCACTTAGGTGTCCACTATTTATATATCACTTAGTACAAATAGTGAATACCTAAATGAGGGCACTGACCATACTATGATTTTGAAAAATATTGTCAATACCTTGCTATCATGTGACTATGCAATAAACTATTATGAACTTGCACCGCTCATGGAAGAATGGCACAAGTGGAGTTACGTCAAAAATGTTTATTGCTACATTAGATACACAAAAATACAAAAGGTTATGTTTGTCTCTATCTAATGGAGCAACGGCACCAATGATGGGTGCGAATTATGAATGTATGATTTCGAAAGGCGAGTACGACCGTACATCGCGTGAGGGGGAGTTGAACAGTTCGTGACTAAGGATCGTATTCCAGAATTCTACTCAATGCTCAAGTCAGGACTTGAGTATAATTTCGAGTGCTTTAAACCATACTCAAGTCCTGACTTGAGCATTGAGTAGAGTTCTAGAATACGACCATTAAGACTATCTTACATAGATACATATGTCATAGATACATGTGTGATATGAAATGTGAGTGAGAGTGATAGGTGACGGGGGAGTTACCGTTGAGCGTGCGGAGAGGCGGGGGGTGGTGCGGAGGCGGCCGGTGCGGTGGCGTGGCGCGCGACGACATCACCGACGACGACACCGACGTCGGCGACGCGGGAGACGACGACCTGCGCACCATACTACATTCGAATTCGAAACATCTTTATTTCATAAGCAAATTGCAATTCATATCGTCAAATTGTATAAACAATTCTACTAGCTATCACAGGTAGAAAAATCAGCTGTACCAGTATGGAAAATAAAACATTTATAAAATATGTCGGGTCGACAGTTCGATTGGCGTCCTTAAAGTTGTTATCATTATAATACAGGGATTTGTCCTGTTTGATTAATCTTCATACCAATGTAAATTGAAAGTTCGATATTAACATTTCAAAACGGGAACAAACGCGATTTTTTGTGAAATAACTAAACACAGAACAATTTCGTCGACCCGGTGGCACTTGAACCCACGTCCATGCTGCACCGTAGCATTGCTCTAACTACCTGAGCCTCGGGTCCAGTTACCGAGTCGTCGAAATTCTCCTATCTGTTTTTTGTAATAGATCTTTTGTACTAACTTTCGGCATTCGTCGCTGCTGATGACATCTAGTGAGAGATTTTTTATTAACATAATAGAGATAATTTTATAATAAATGATGTCAAGTGACGGAACGCACTAGTCGTGCGCCTGGCCAGTCCATAACGGTTGCAGTGCTCGGAGCTTTCAATCGTAAAGACCTCACAAAATTTCACTATTACACTAACTCTTCAAAATCGTAACACAATAATGGATACATTACTGATTGGTGGCAGAAAAAATATAGGTAAGGTGGTAGTACTTTCCCGGAAGCTCTTTTGTTACTAAATACATACAATATAACACATGTACATATTATTTGTGGTTATTTGGGTATTCCCTCTTGAAATGTTAGTATAATGCAACGCGAAATTTTAACTGTACTTTTGAATTTATCAATTTATAATATTTTTCCTCTTTTTCTACCTTGCATGCTGTTTTGCCCGCTTATTACTTTTGCTTTCACTGCCTTGGGTTCTCTTCCAACTTTGAACAACTTTCATTGAATTAATATTTATTTTGTTGTCGTTTGGTGCAATAAATAAGAGAGAAGCAACCTTTCTCCCACTGGGCCACTGCAATAAACGTTAGTGAAAGTAATTATCTTATGTAAAAAACCTTTAAAAACTTACGACTTGGCGATAAAAAAATAATGTTCTATGTTGTGACGCAAATAATTCGTCTCATGATGTTTGTAAATACATGTAGCGTGGCCGTCGAAGGGCGAATAATTGTCTTTTTTTTGTTTTAAAATTAATTACCGTTGTGATATGCCGTCCGATATAGAGGTGGAGTTGGAGGTGTGTCCAGATCCGTTGTACTGCGTGCGTTCGCTGGCCGACGCGCAGGACACCGGCGCGTTGTAAGTCCACACGATTCTACAAGGATATCATACAAAGTGTAAATGCAAACACGTCGAAAAAGTTTCTAAAAACAGGCGATGTCAAAACATGGAAAAAGATATACGTATATTAAAACTGCGTATTTGTCACCTTAATAACAATAACATATTTTACAACACACCTTTGTTTATTTGGCATAATAAGACTCAACATTTGTGGTTATTTGCCATAATAACAGTCAAAATTTATGGTTCTTTGGAATAACAAAAACTCGACCTTAGGCATAATGAAACACAAACATAATCCTTGCGCAATTATGAAATAATTTAGTTATTTGATTAAAATAAACGCTCAATTTTTGAAGTAATTTGGCAATTTTTAGACTCGAATGAGACTATTATATTCTGAGACACACAGCGTGGATAACAACCATGATAATAATATTATTCCCACGTCTGATAAGAACTGACAAATTTGTTTCCAGAGTATACCTGCTGATTTGAAAAGACAAAGAATTGTCTTCAGAACCCTTAAACAAGGGAAGATCAATGTTAGGCGATGACAAACTAATTTTAATTAAATAGGTTCGCCCATTAGTATTTACAAATAAACAATATGTGTACAAAATGATGGATGAACCCAGAAGGTGGACAGCAGCGTCTACAAAATCTAAATTCCTAGAGACACTCATACCCAACAATGGATTATAATATGTTAAACACAATGGTGGTACATTAACATTTGGCCATAGTTGTACAAACTGTCACTTGTTTCTTTTAAACGCTGCGCTATGTAAATCACCTTAATAAAATGCAATTTATTCTTTATGTATTTTTTTTACCGAGTGACGGGACTAACCAGTCGTGCGCCTGGTAGTAATCCACACGCCTGTCCATAACAGTTGCAGTGTTACTCAGAGCTTTAAACTGCTTGGCGGTAGAAATAGGTAAGGTGGCAGTACTTCCCTGGACGTGCCCTTTCACAAGTAGCTCTACTGACCAAATGTAACGTAATAAGTAATGTTAAATTGATTAATGGGTGTATACATTGACTTACAAATGAATGGACGACGGGTCTAATACAAAAACCACGAAAAAAATGTCCCAAGTCAACCTATTTAAACGTAGTGACATGTAAAGGAATATGAAAAGGCTAAAACGTTGAATTTAAATTGTAATGTCATCGCAGTACTATCTAATTTTGCTTGCTTCGCTGTCAGTCGAACAAACGAAGACTAAAGCGTGAATGACGCTCTATATACGATTTTAACGCCCTATAAGTAAGGACACTTTTTAGCGCGGACCCGACGTCCATATAATTGTAAGTCAATGGGTGCATACCTAATTTTATTTAAAAGAGCTTTATTTTGCCTAACTACGATGACAACTGTATCTAAATTTATTTTTATAGGTTCCAGTTTTGTAATATAAATAATTGAATGTTTTTATAACTTAACGGGTAGCTGAATGTACCTGTCTTTTTCCGAGCGGGAATTGGATCGCGTCCTGGGGGTGGCGGAGTCAGGTCTCGCATCTAGTAACGTGTTGAGTGACGACGTCACATCTTCCTCCATGTCCACCGCCACCGCGCTTAACGACGACTCCTTCTGAAACTTGCATATGCTAAGTTAAATCACTGCATTTTGTTACAGTGTATTATTTATAGTGATGCAACCGCACCTGTGCCGGTTTGTTTACACAGGTGAGAACGGTGAGTAACACAGAAACATATAACATGTGTGTAACAACATGGTAGCGATGTTGACTGTTGAAGTAAACAAAAAAGAAAGCATACAGTGTGACGATTTATTTCCATTTGCGAAAGACAAAGAGTGAAAAGGTGTAGCCAGTGCTGGAGTCAGGGCAGTCCGCAATTTCTTGTACTCTTAGAAGTAGAATTAAGCAAGTGCAGCGAGATCCGAAAGAACTTTGTGTGTTTTGCAGACGAAAAGAGCCAATCAATATGGGAGACATCGTTGCCATCACATGTCCAATAGCAGTAGTATACCTGCAAATGGTCTTCCGACCTCGACGTCCGTACCGTGTGTGCAGTCCGCGAGGTGAGCTCGTGCTGCGGGCCTGTCGTCCCGCCGGCCGGTGACGCCGGTTGGGAGCTGAAACTAAGAACATTATCATTCGCGCCACCAGATTACAAATACCAAGGATGTTTTAGAGATATAAAATATACAAACGTTTTTTTTATAATACCAAGTAGAGGGACGAACAAGTCGTATCTGGTGGTAAGCGACACGCCTATTCATTGCAGTGCCACTCAGAAGAGCTTTAAATCGCAAAGATCTGAGAGCCACTGCCACTACGCCCGTCACCATGTGCCAGTAATTTCACCAGCACCCTTACCGTTCCAAACCGGAACACAGTAATGCTCACATTACTGCTTGGCGGTAGAATTAGGTAAGGTGGCAGTACTTCCCTGGATGAAATCTTTCACAAGGAGCTCTACTGTATAAAATTACACTCTTAATTTCCAACGTTTTATAATGGCAGTATACGACCGCTTTTCGATGCGTTTTATGCAATTAATAACTTCAGGAATGATCGTGTCTTGCTCGCATTTTGTACAGATAAATGTAGTGGCTGTGGTAGGTGATAAAATTTATCTCGTTTTCTATATTGATAATAGTGTTGCGAACGCATAAGAACGATTTATAATTTCAACTTCTGCCTTAAACACAACAAGCAGCCGAACGCTAGTCAAAATGCACAGAAAGTATGATTTTGATTTGTAACAATTAATTAACAGACTTATAAAAAGGTGGAGGTTCTCAATTTGAGCGTATTTTTGTTTGTGTGTACGTTAAGCAATTACTCCGGTGTTTGTGAACCGATTTTGAGGATTCTTTTTTTGTTGGAAAGAGGTTACCTCAGTACTTTTCCCATTTAAATTTGAAGAAAATATTCCAAGGGTGGTGGGTGGAATGGTTAACAAATCGAATCGGCCGACAACTGAGTTATCGTAAGGTTCTGAATCGACCCTCAGGGGGCCTGCCATAACCTTTCCAAAAACAATCTTATTTCAATGTAAGATTGAAGTAAGCTTATTATAATATTACTCATATTCGTACCATGACAAACCTGTCAACCAACAAATGTATTATTGCTAAAGTGATTGAAAGAACGAAAGATTTTCCAATATTGTCTATTCCTTACCAAAAACAGGAAATAGATAACGCTATGTGAACTATATAATGCCTTCTCTTCTTTTTTTGATAGTCCGAATCGTCTTATCGTAGTATAATGTTTAAGTACTTAATGTTATTTACATTCAGAGTATTTTGATTGTTAAAAAAAAGAAAAGTATGTAATAATAAAATCTATTAAAATTAAGTTGTCTCAATAATTATTCCGCGTTTTCATTAAGAAAAATATATAAAACAAGCTGACTCTTGATAGTCACGCTGTGAATCCGGAATTATAGTCTAGTGTGAACTGTTAGTTTCGCCAAGGAGCATATAGATGGCGCCGTCATAACTTTACGAAATAAACATCGCGTATTTTTATTCAACGAGAAATTATTTCCTATGTGAATAAACAAGATATTGAAAAGATATGTGTAAATAAATAAGTTCAACTTAACTTTTAATCATTACAAATCAATATTAAGACAATAAAACTGAAATTAATATTGTTTCCATTGCGTCCGTGTAACTATTTTAAGGCTGCTAAATTTGACATAATATAAGCAATAGTCGCGTCATCGTACGACCTGAGTGAATGAATAGTCACAAAGCTGCCAATAAAACATCATAGCTTTAACATTACAGTAAGCTTACTTTAAGCGCGTTATGGTACGAAAAAGTCAACGTAAAGTTAATGTAAAAGAATGCACTAACAGTTTGTTATTGGAGTCTCCAACGAGCCCGGTGTCTGGTGAGGAATTGTGCCGCTGCGCCAGTTCTACCTTTCCATAAAGGCGGTTCTCGATTGGCGAAGCCGGCGTAGAGTTGTATCTGGGAAATGGAAAATTTCTTAGAGTCAAGGAAATAATTTACATTGACATAATCGCTCCTTATTTTTCTTCTGCATTTGCAATTCGGTTACTTTCAAAAAATATTTAAAAAAATATCAATTATGCTGATTTTGCTTAAGTGCGTTGCCATTACATTGTAACGTTTTATTTATCGTTGGACGACTGTCGCGTTTAGCCTGTTCCCACATCACTATCTGTCCTGTCGTGACTGTGTCGTGGACGTTCATTTTATCGTTGAAAGACTGTCGTGTCTAGCTCCCACTAGATCGTGACGACAATTTATCGTTGCACGTGCAGATAACGATAAATAAAACGTGACAATACATAGTAGCTGCGATTATCTGTCGTCACATTTTTATCGTGACGTTTTATTTACCATCGGGCGACTGTCGTTTCAGCTCTTCCCAGTTCAGTTTCGACAGTCTGTCGTCGTAAACGTCAAAAAAGTCGTGAATGACAGTCAATCGTGTTGTACTTATATGTGAACAACTTCATTTAAATATACAAAACACGATACTTTAAACTGCATGACTATCTGTCGTCACGACATAATGTTCCCATTGTGTCGTGACGATAGATAGTGCCCTAACTACAAAATTGAAACTAAATAAGATAAAAAAAATCGATTAGAGGAGGTTGTAGACCTCGTTTCGCCGAGCCCAGATATGTGCCACGCAGATATCCCGGGTTCGATTCCCGGGCCAGGCTTTTATATGGCTTACATTTATTTCTCTCGTGAGTTTAGGTGTGGTTTGTCTATGTGTCTGTCCATGGCACCCGTGACACACGGTTTACCTAGCGCGGGGTTATGAGTATGTGCGTTATTATTATTATTACATGTCGATTACGTTAATTATGACAAGGAGGTATAGTTGTCTACAGACTAGATGTGATATTCAATTGTTTATATACGTTGGTTGTCTATCGTATCTTGAGTCTGCAAGGTACGGAGCGAGGAGCCTCCCAATTGGAAATACGAAATTCAGCAAATTGGCGATTCCTTGATGGCATGGTGCCAAAATAAGAAAATTTTAAGGTCTTTTTAAGAGTCTATGCAACCTCAAATGGCTTTGGTTGATTTCGCAAAACAGTGAGTGTTGAATCAACTCACTTTGAAAAATATATATAATAAAACTGAGGATTTACTCTGATTACTACACGGTGTGAAAACATTATTTCTAAAAATTTTGCGACGAGCTGAGGTAGTATCGATTCTTAAACGATCTTCGAAACTTCACGCCTTACCTATGATATAAAGGTGGATGAGGCGGTGCGTGGTTTATAGTATGTTCTACCCGCGACAGGTTCAGCATTAAGTCCCCAGTCATCATGTAGGTCTCAAACTTGGGTTGCGACACCCGCCGCACACCGCCCCCGCCACCCGCGCCCAGTAGGGCCTCGCAGCTTTCCCCCGAGTTCACGCCAGAGCCGTTCGATGAGGAATTGCTCGAGGATGAACTGGTGGAGTTCGAATTAGATGACAGTGAGTTTCTGAAAAAAAAAAACGTTTAAAGTTAAGATTAATCTGATATAAATTCTTCGGTGTTTACCAAAATTAAAGAAGTGTACCTGAGCCTACACAATAGACTCGAATTGCGATATTTTTTTCTTGAATGCAGGATGAGTTGTTTTATTATAATTAAATAGAAGAATGTACAGACGACAGCGCATCAATTAGCACTAGAGCCCTTTGTGAAAGAGTTCGTCCAGGGAAGTACTGCCACCTATCTATTTCTGCCGCCAAGCAGTAATGCTCACATTACTGCGTTCCGGTTTTGAAGGGTAAGGACGCCGGTGAAGTTAGTCTCGAGGTGACAGGCGCAGTGGTAGTGCCCCTCAGATCTTTGCGATTTGAAGCTCTGAGTGGCACTGCAACAGTTATGGACAAGCATGTAACTAACCACCAGTCACACGACTACGGTCCCGACAGTTGATATTTGTATAAAAAAGCCACATATTGACGGATCTTCGAACAAAACTGTATAACTTGTTGTGCTGCTGACTGTACATCCTACTGAAGTAACCTGATGAGGTTAGAAATATGAAAACCAGCATACAGACCATAACCTATTAAGTTGCACGTCATTCTTGAATTTCAGAATTTGAAACAGAATTTCAAAATATACAAGATTCTTTTAACAATGAAAATCAGACCGACTTTGAAATTAAAAGGTTAGGCCCCTGGTGTTTTTCCGCAGGTAAACATTATTACATATCGAAAAGGGTGGCACCCCCGCCCGTGCTGCGGGTTATCACGGCGGAAATCAACTGTCGTAGGGGGCGGTCTCCTGTTCTATTCCGGTAGGGCTAACTTTGTTAAAAGGAAGTGAGTGAGGTGTATTGCGTGTGAATCGAACATGGCGGCGGCAATGGTGAGTATGAATGAATCACGTATTCAAAGTGCAGTAATAATAGCAATCGTAGAGCATTTATATGCCTGAAAGTAATTTTTTAGTTGTTCAGATTAAAGTTATTTGTTTAGCATAAGATTAGAGTGTAAAGAAGAAATCCGTAATATTAACCTTAGAATTTTCTAACCCTAAACGTAAACGATTCTTTTACGAGGAACTGTATACTTTTTAACCGAATAAAAAAAATTAGGTCCTCAATTCGACTGCAGTTTTTTTGTGTGTATGTTACACGTATTTGTAAACCGATTTTGATGACTTTTTTGTTGGAAAGAACCTCGGTACTTATTGGTCCAGTATTTACATTTGAAGAAAATATTCCATCCCTAAGGATGGCAAACTAGGGGATAAAATCCGGTTTCGCGCGTTGTAACCACCTCCGTGGTCGAACGGTTACCATGCCGGTCTGCCACGCAGAGGCCCCAGGTTCGATTCCCGGGCTGGGAGAAATATTTGTATGGTCTACATTTATTTCTCTCGTGAGTTTGGGTGTAATTTGTGGTTGTCTATGTGTGTGTCCATGTAACCGATTTCAATAAAACTTGGCAAATAGATGTAATTCCACGAACTTTGAGGCCTTTCTTTTTTTCATAAAAAAATTATAATTATTACAATAAGTTTCCGGAGCATAATTTATGAAGACAATCATTTCTTAAGTTCGAATATTTTACCGGATTCGATTCATGGAAGGACCTATTTGGGTAATAAACTTTGTTTCATAATATCAAGTGACGAGACGAACGAGTCGTGCATCTGATGGTAAGCTATGTGTAGTCTATAACAGTTCTGCCCTGTCTATAACAGTTGCAGAGCCGCTCAGAGGTTACCGCCAGCCGCACGACTTTGTTTTGCAGCCAAAGCAATGTTTATAAATAATAAAATTAAAAGCAGCGCGAATGTAGTAAAAACGACTTGGAATATTATAAACAGCGAAACTGGAAGGATCAAACCTCGTAACTTAGATTTTCAACTAAGATTTAATGACAAAATTGTAAACACAGACGCAGAAGTTGCTAAAATATTTGAAAACTTTTTTACTGACATTCCAAAATTGACTACTAAGTCGTTAAATTCATCTCCCACCGCCGCTGAATCCTTACTAAAAGAAAATAATGCAGTTAGTGTCACTAATTTAAGGTTCCGTCATGTATTGCCAAAAGACATTGTTAAAGCCTTTAAGTCTATAAACATAAATAATACTGCTGATCTTGATGGTCTTTCAGTCAAAGTAATTAGTTCTATAGTTGATTGTATTGCGCCTTACTTAGCCTGTGTCTTTAATAAAAGTGTTGATGATGGTGTCTTTCCTGACCTCATGAAGCAAAGTAAAGTTATTCCACTTTTCAAATCTGGTAGTATTTCAGACCCCACCAATTTCAGACCTATATCAATACTACCAACTCTCAGTAAAATTTTGAAAAAATTATTCTAAATCAGATGTGTGCACATTTTTATAGTAATAACTTAATGTCTCCTAAACAATTTGGTTTCACTCGGAGTCGCTCTACAACCGATGCTGGTGTTGAGTTAATGAAACATATATTTGACGCATGGGAAGACGCACATGCACATGCTATTGGTGTATACAGTGACCTTTCCAAGGCTTTTAATTGAGTGCACCATGATACATTGGTCAGGAAATTTCACCATTATGGTGTGACGGGACGTAACCTCGACCTTCTTAAATCGTATTTGCGTGGTACGGTACAGAGGGTCGACGTTAACGGTACGAGATCATCAGGGTCTGCAGGCATGGGTGTCCCTCAAGGTTCAATTCTAGGCCCATTTTTATTTTTAGTTTATATTAATGACTTCCCTAGCCTCATGGAGGGTATAAAACACGAGATAGTATTGTTTGCTGATGATACTTCCTTATTATGTAAAGTTAAAAGGTACCAAAATTCCTACGACGATGTGAACAATGCTATATCTAAAAGTAGTTGATTGGTTTGCTGTTAATAACCTACTCCTTAATGAGAAAAAAACAAATTGTGTGAAATTTACATTACCCAATGTTAGAGAGACGGTTACAAACATTGTAGTTAGAAACGAAAAATTGAATCTTGTGAATATAGTTGTATCTCTAGGTATAACGTTAGATGTTAAATTGCAATAGGGTCCCCATATAAGTAAGTTATCAAAATGGCTCGGTGCTGCAGTGTACGCGATTAAAAAAATACGGAAACTTTCAGACGTTGAAACCGCTAGATTGGTTTACTTCAGCTACTTTCACAGTCTAATGACATACGGCATTTTGCTTTGGGGTAATGCCGCTGGTATCAATAGAATCTTTGTCTTCCAGAAACGTGCGGTTAGGGCAATTTACAATCTGGGCCCCAGAGTATCTTTGAGCGATAAGTTTAAGGAAATTAACATTCTTACACTAGCCTCACAGTATATTTATGAAAATGTAATTTAAGTTAAGAGAAATAGTAATTTCTTTATGGAAAATAGTGACAGACATAACATTAATACGAGGAATAAAAATAAACTAGCTGTTCTTGATAGTCGTCTTCACAAAGTCAAAAAATCATTTAAGGGGCAATGTACTATAACAAGATTCCGATTGATATACAAAATTTGCCTTTCACGAGGTTTAAAACTATAGTCAAACAAAAACTTTATTCTAAAGGTTATTATACAACTTCTGCGTACTTGGATGACAAAAATCGGTGGTAGTAACCCGTTTAGCTCATGGAGGTAGTCTCGATCTCTAATGTTTCAAATAAAAAACAAATATATATTGTAAATGTTGAATGTGTAAAAATGTTATTAAGAGCAACCCCTAGAGTTTCTTGCTCATTCTTCTCAGGGGAATCTGCCTTAGGAATGAGCGGTAGAGTTTAACCAATGTGACGATTTCAAGTGTAATAATGCTTACCTATGAAATAAAGATTATTTTGAATGTTGACTTGTTCGCCTCGTCCCTTTGTAATCATAAAAAAAGTAACAAGCTCTTTTGACGTATGGCTTTCTTATACCAACGGTACGAATAACTTTTGTTGTCGTAACAACTTTTTTCAAAATAACAAGTTGCTAAATTAGCAATTAGATAATAATAATATTCAGCATTAATAAATACGGTACAAAGTTTGTAAAATCTGTGCTTACACTGGTGGGAAGTGTAGCTATGGACTTGGTATAAAAATGAGTGACTGGCAAAGGTGGCTGCACACTTGATGTTAGTAGACAAATAAGTGAGGAGTAAAGGTGGTGGTTACTCACTTGTCGTGGTTAGTTCGGGCTGTGTTAGTCCGCCGCTCGGCCGCGGCGGAGAGGTAACGCCGCACACTTGCCTTTACTTGCGGGTCTGAAATGGCCACGGCAGTTATTAATTAGTGGACAGTTAAGGTCAAGTCACATTGAAAGAGCAGAGGCGCGCAGCGGCTAGGCTATACCACGGTACCTTTTTGGAGTAGTCGCTTCAAGTCTCGCGCGGCCTCGCGGCTGCTCGCCGTGACACACTATACATTCTATCACTTTAAATCAATTTGAACTTTTTCCTTCAGAAGATAAAATTCATAATGCTGTAATATGATGCACCAAAAATGACCCTTAGTCGATACAGATGGGGAAGACATCGCAAGATCATTCACTAAAAAGGTTCGTAAATAATATCGATGTTATATGGTCATACTCATTAATAAAATGATGAAATTAGTTATTACGTGCCACCATATCGCACTGATATTACAATAGTGTTGTAACTCGAAATATGTGATATTCAATATTATACTATTGGTGAACGTAATATTTCAATATCTACAAGTCAATACAACAGTCCTTTGAATATTATGAAAAACAATTAAAATATTCTTAACTTAAAAGAAGACAAACTCCTTGTGAGCTAGTTCTGGATAAAACAATCCTTACTCAAAAATATGAAATTAATTTTTCCCTTTCATTTTTACACATATTTGGCAAGTAGGAAATTGTTTAGATGTATGTAATAAACTTTATGCTATGCATAAATTAAAATAACACGGAAAGTTAGTAATTCGTTATACATTGACTCTGAAAAAAATTGACTTTTTGAGTTAATACACTATTCTATTACCAATGCGATATATATATGGATTTGGCTGGTGACAAAATCAGACACATAAAAAAGACATACTGGTTTTCTTCTTGTCGCATACACTATATTATACTGTCCCCGAACTTAACCACGCCGACCACTTCACTACGTAGTAGCCGCCATTAAATCTTCAAGAGTGCAGGGGTCCAAGTCTGCTAATTTTTGAAACCAGTGGTCATTGTAATACTATTCATTCCTCTGAGATTATATTGCCATAATAGTAATATTTGTTATTCGACTAAATTGAAAGACGCGTGATACGAATGAAGCTTCGTACTTGACATTGTCTTTTAATTAGGTATTACTTATTTAACAATAATTGTTTAAGACCGACGTCGGACAGAGAACGAGAGTAAATTTGAAGAAAATAATCTCAGTACAGAGTACTAAAAAAATCGACCTCAAAAGTACGTGGAATTACATCTATCTGCCAAGTTTTATGGAAATCGGTTACCGGAAAGTGCAAACCTGGATTCATCCCCCAGTTCGCCACTATACAGGACTTGACAAAGGAGATAAAAATTGGTTCTCACTACTCAAAGTATATTGAGAGAGAAAAACGCCTTGAATTGGAGAATAGCAAAATCAACCATTAAAATAATTGCTCCTTATAATAAAATTTAGGCGCTATTTATAAAAATGAATCTTCATGCGTGAACAGCCACCCTTGGAGATGGATAATTTTCTTCAGAATTAAATGGGACTACTATGGAGGTACCCTCTTTCCAACAAAAACGAATCATATAATCGGTTCACAAATACCGGAGTTATCGCGTAACATACAAAAAAAAAACAGTCCAATTGAGAACCTCCTCCTTTTTTTGAAGTCGGTTAAAAATATTCCACCTCTAAGGGTGACACGCTAGGGGATGAATCCGGTTTCGCGCACTTTCCGGTGATCGATTTCAATAAAAACTCAGCAAATATATGTAATTCTACTAACTATAATTGACGTCGGTGATGCAAGATCATTAAGCAAAAAGTAACCTTTTTTTTAACTTCCTTTGCGGCCAAACGGTTATCATTACGGCTGGTCTACCACGCAGAGGTCTCGGGTTCGATTGTGTGTTTAGGTGTAATTTGTGGTTGTCTATGTGTGTGTCCATGGCACCCGCGACACCGAGTTTCCCTAGTACTGAGTGTGTGCTTTAAAAAAAGTGACCATTGGAAACTAGAGATGGAACCTTACAAGATACGAGTTACCCTTGGACTTGTTATCGCATAATAAAGATCGCAAAGCGAGAAAGATTACAATGCTATTTGAATTGAAATAATATGAAGTCAACTAAAACCAAGGACGAGTGATCTGATAACAGAATAAATACCGTCTATTTAAGTACCGTATAAGGTTCTCTATATAGAATAATCGGACAATTGGTATTATTTTGGTGAAACTCATTCTTTGTAGTCGAGCGGTTTACGAATTCGCCTTTTTTTACTGCACTTGCTAACATACATCGACCTCAGACATGTTTCGATCAAATCTTTTAAAACCAAGTAGCAGAGATCTTAAAAGGCAGATTATATTCGCAGAGATGATAATACCTCCCTATGAAATTCCGCAATTATTTGTATTATGTTATTATTATTTTTTTATAATATCATATTACGGGACGAAGAAGTCGTGCGTCCGGCATTATTAATACAAAGACCGAATAAATACAAAGAAAGAATAATTCAATATTCACTTTAAAATTCCAGGCTTTATTTAAAAAAATGGAAACAAAACAACTTAACATTTACTACGTAACGGATTTCAGAGAGAGATATCCACTCTATGTGCACTCTATGAGCTTTAAATCGCAAAGATCTGAGGGTCAGTGCCACTGCGCCCGTCACCCTGACCCTGAGACATAAGTTGACAAGTCCCATGTGCTTGTAATTACACCAGCACCCTTAACCTTCAAAACTGGAACGCAGTAATGCTGACATTACTGCTTGGCGGCAGAAATAGGTAAGGTGGCAGTACTTCCCTGGGTGAACTCTTTCACAAGGAGCTTTACTGCCTCTAAAACTGAACAGCGCAATACAATAAAATAGTTGTTTATTCTAAGAAGAACGTAAAAGAACAAAAGCGATTGAAAGGGCTATAAATTTAAAAAAAAAGGCAGAGTTCTTGTTATATTAGCCATATATAATTAGACCTATCGCAACGAAACGCCAAGCTGTGAAATTGTAGCGTGTTTGCAGACACTAAAATGCTTTTAGTAGATTTCTCGCAAGTGTAACAGTGTATATCCGACGTAAATCAATTGATATTACTATTTTGTTAAATTATGTTAGTAGCCAAGCGATTGTCGGAGACATTTTTAACACTACAATAACAACTTAATAATGTTCAGCTCTCAGGTTTTCCCAAAGGGACTTACATTGATCAGATCAGTGATGTCCTCAAAAGGGCTGGGATCCGAAGTGACAATAATAAAACAAGTTGTATGAAAAGCGTAGTTGATGTATGTGAGGCTCGAGAGTTGTGTCAGGGTAAAGAGGCGTTCCGTGGTCTCTGCCTACCTCTCCTATGGGACTAGGGCGTGAGCTTATGTATCTTAGGGTTTGGTGATACGAAACTATTTTTCCGGATTCAAATCACGTATATTCATTTCAAACCAAACCAAAGTTTCGAGGCCTTTACAGACCCCATGGCCGACAATCGTGGATCATCGACAATACGAATAGTCCTACGTTGGACGGAGTCAAGTGGGTCAAGCTGGTATTTCGGAGCTCCTGCCCAGAGATACGAGCAATACACCATATGGGATATTTATGAAAGCGGTGATACAAATTATCAACAATGATGAAGCGAAAGATGTGTATCATGATCGCAGCAAGAGGAAGGCTCTGGTATCTGCCTACCCTCATGGGACAAGGGCGTGAAGTGTACGTATGTGTACACATAACTATCCAGAAAACGTGAAACCGAGCAGCTAAATTGACACAGAGTGCGAGGCTACATTATTAAGCAGCAAAGCTGCGTCCAATAGCACCTTCCGAGGCAGTTGTGAAATAACTTTCTTCATAGGGTGGCCACGCTCTAATTTACTTAACAATGAAACGCTTGAATATTAACGCCGAGAGCAAGGGTAAGTGTTTAACAGATTAAGGCGAATCTAGGCCTTTATTGTCTGGCGCTAAGTGCTACAGCCTAAGTAAATTGAAGTTTTTGGGGCGAAATTCCATTTATTAATGTATTTCGAATCAACGAGGTACAGTGTTAATAGATGACTTAGTAAGTCGTATTACTAGTGAAGTATTTAAAAAAAGTCATAGATATTGATCTTTTTAGAATGAATGGACGTGATTTATACTTTTGGGTAGGAAGTTCTCAATTCGCCCGTAGTTTTTTGTGAGTGTATTACGCGATTACGGCGACATTTGTAAACTGATTTCGATGATTCTTTTTGCTGGAAAGGCGGTACCTCCGCAGTGATCCCTTTCCCTCTATAAGGGTGACAAATTAGGGGATAAATTCGGTTTCTTGGATTTCACCCACTTTCCGTTAACAGATTCCAATAAAGCTTGGCAAATAGATGTAATGCCAATAAACTTTTGAGGTCGCGAGCAGGAGTGCTCGCTTCAGCGATTAAGCAGAGAGTAACGACGGAACGAACGAAGAGAACGATTCAAAATTCGATAATAAATGGCCAGGAACCAGAGAAAAGGTGATAAAATGGTGGGATGACGTTGGAGGAGGTCGCATCGTCACAAATGCGTATTCGTTCTAGCTTTCACACAGATATCGGTTGTGTATCTATTCCTTTGCCGTAAGAATTAGGAAGGAGGCAGCAAAGAGCTTCGTGCGAATGGGTAGTATATCAGGTAAACAGTGTGAAGT